TATGTTAATTGTAACACTACCATTAACCGGGTTAATTTCTATGAGTGATAGGATGAGAGTGATGTTTGCATCGTCGCTACGGGTGACGGGGGAAAGATAGGTTGGGTGTCACGTGGATCGTGCTATATTAATAACCACTTTACAATTATATCCATCTAATGGCTGTATAGATCTAGTTTTAACCAATCAGTACGAAATATACGACTATACAACTATGCGACTATATGGCGCTACGCCTCCATCGAAGTACTCGTGAACGCATGAATAGTTTCCAGCGTGCGGGCTGAAGTGCCATAATTCTGTACAACTATATGAATGTACAGTTTTAACCAATCAGAACGCACCCCCCCCCCCCCCCCCCCCATTGGAAAAGTTTTAGGTGAATTCGTTCCGGAAAATGGATTGCTCACCGAGCCGATCAAGTTCGCACGCAAATGTGTACGTCTATAGAACTCGTTTAGTGTGGCATATTTCATGCTCTTGCGCAAAAAGGAGCATAAAATAAGAGACAGCAAATCATTGGATGCAAAAGTGCAACCTTCTTCTCTTATGCAATCAAAATGAATGATACATTACTAGAATCGTTGAACTCTCTGCTTTAATTTGATATGCGAGACGGTGCAATTCGCCCATCAAATCAGTTCTCCTGCCAAGATAAGTATATGGAGAGTTGACGAATTTTGGGCGAAAATCGGTCGACCTTCATAGAGAAAGTGTCGTGTAAGGGTTTGTTGATAATTTTTAAGCAAAAAAAGCGCAACCTTTTCCCATGAATGAAATTATTTAAAATTTATATCATCATATACAGGGATGTTTTAAAATACCGGCCGAGACGGTATAACAAGTGGATTCAGTTAGGCTGTTGCTGTGATTTAGCGTAGGTAATGCACGCAATGGTGAGGAATTTCCTCAGCCCCCCCCCCCCCCTCCCTACTTCGTGAACGGAGGGATACCATGCGTGTTACCAAAATGTCCGGTAAAGGGGTACTTTTCACGCACCAAAGTCCGGCTCGAAGTACACAAAAATCCGGACCGTAGTGACTTTACACACCGGAATTAAGTTTAAAGGGGAACATGCTTATGCGTACCCTAGATAACACTGGGTGGGGGGGGGGGGGGATTTCACGTGTTGTAGCTCACGGTGCAGTGCGTGCCGAATCTCAGAATCTCAGAATTGGTGTCCAGACATCGCTAGAAGCACTAACTAAGAGGGAGTGTCATGTGCATTTTAAATTGATGCACGGTTCTTTTGGAGGCATAGTCTAGTCTAGTTTAAAGGTTTGTGTAGAGTTCAGCTTCCTGGTGGAATGCCTTGTAGAATAGCGTTAATTTGCTGTCTTACCTTCGTTGTTGGAGAGGAGACCATTCCAGGGATTTGAGTAACTCAGAGACACTTGTAGATCTAGTCTAGTTGTACTAGATCTAGTAGACCCGTACGACGAAATACAACAGCATATGGACAAGAGTAAAAGATCGCAACCGCCCAGGGTCACGGAACCAACGGAACACGGCAGTACACAGCGCCCCGCTACCAGATGACAAACATGAGGCCTTGCCAACATATGATGAAGACCCTCACATCAAAGACTCTGAACAAGACTGCAATTGTGAAGAACAAGACAAAACCACTATGTGTCCAAGATGCTCAAATCATGCCTGTCTAGATACAACTAGATGCTCTGTATGCTGCAAGTGGTACCATTTCGCTTGCACTGAACTTTCAGATATTGAACTGGAAACCCTTCTGAAAAACTCAACTGCGCAATTCGTCTGCACTACATGCAAAAACATCACCAATAGCCCAGTTATACCACAAAGGGATACTTCGACTCCTATCTCTGATGACAAAATAAAAACTGGCTCAGAAGAGGACTGCCCCATCTGCCCAATCTGTCGTACTGAAGCCACAAGCGACTCAGTAGAATGTCTTGTCTGCGAAAGCTGGTATCATATGATATGTGCTGGCATTACCACATCAGAATTCTCATCTATCCAAAAAGACACCTACATCTGCTCCTCCTGCACACTAATTGACCTCACAACAGCTGGAGGTGTACAAGTAAATATTGAGGAAAATGACAGCCAACCCTCAACTACGCAGATCTCCAAAGCTAACTGCAAGACATGTAAAGATCGCGTGAAACAAATAAGTAAACTGAAAGACGAAATAAACTCTAAGTCTGCTTCTGTAGCCACTCTTCTAATAGAAAATGAAAAACTAGCACTGGAACTCAACCAAGCTAGAAGAGAGGCTCAGCTAGCTGAGGAACAAAACCAAAAGACAAGGAACATTCTGGAACAAAAGCAGAGTGACCTAGCACATGCAAACTTCTTGAAGACTCAACATGAGCTGGACTTCAACTGTATAGTAGCCCACAATGACTTTCCGTACGGAGTCTGCCTAAAGCATGGAATCAATATCAGCCAGTCAGAGTCGGTAACCCATCTCCCAAAACGCTATACCAGCAAGGATTGTAACAACCCAAGGGAAGCGTACCATCAGAGCAGTCAGAACAGTGAAACATCCCAACACTATAGCATACTAACACAAAACCGGTTTTCTGTGCTCTCGGAGGCCAATGAACCTCCACCTGGCGGCAAAAATATCCCCTCGCACACGTGGTGGTACTCGACAACAAAATGCAGCCCTCCACGAGGTAACCGCCCATCAGGACAGGGCAATAAGACACCCGATCACAGTTATCCTACTCATATCAAGCATCACCACCAAGTCTCGAACGCGCATTCGCCAAAAAGAAGGCCAAACAAAATTTCTCACAATGTGCACGAAAACAAGCCCAAAGACAGAGTAGAGAACCCTACTAGAATCTCTACTTCCACTTTGATCAGACAAGGCCAAAGTGCAGGGAAGATGGGCTGGTCTCAACCACAGAAGCAGACGCCCTCTCGTACCAGAACAAATCTGCCAAGATACCGGGGACACCAATCGCCATCACAGCAAGATCACAATAAATCTCCTCGGGGCCAAGATGACAAAAGGACTCACATCTCGCCACCCATGCTTCCTCAGCATCAGATCATAAACGAGACCCCAGTCATTAACCAACAGAAAAGGTCACAGCCACTCAATCCACTACCAAGCCATTCACCAACAAGACTGCACGATACCTCACCTGCAAAGGATACATGTACTCCATCAACAGGAGCTCAGCATACCGCCAATCCTCAGTCTCCCGTGCCGGTTTTTCATGCAGGCCGAGCCTCAACAACTGCTCACATAGCCCTTCTCGATGCAGCATACCACTCACTCATGTACACACTCCAGCTCCTCTCAGCACCAGAAGCAAAAAGCAATCTCACCTTAAACAGAATGGTAACAACCAACCACCACCACATCAAAGACCTTGTTCAATCAAGCCTCGTCCTTCTAACAACCGCATAAACACATCAAATATTTCATTAGGAACACTGAATGTACGTGGAATACAGTCCAATCTGAGATATGCCCAACAAGTTGCCAGCAAGACTGATATCCTCTTTATTCAAGAACACTGGCTTTATACAAACACACTGCAGTTGCTCAATGACATTAGCAGCCAACACTTTATAACAGCTAAAGCAGCAGATTGCATCAGCTATACCAATGCCATACGAGTAGGACGAGGAAAAGGAGGGATATCAACACTAATCCGTAAAACGCTGGTTGCCAGCTACAGTGAAATCCCCTGCCACTCTACCAGGATCAACATAGTTCGAATACACCTTCAACAGTCAAAACAGTGCATCCTGGCCATAAACTGCTACCTACCGTCAGGCGTCAACCAAACTGATCCGGTAGAATACCAGGAGAGCCTTGCCATCATATCCAACATCCTATCCACCCACACCGACGACGCCATTGTCATTTCAGGCGACGTACTTCAATGATTACACAGTCAACCATAACAACGAAAGATCCCTAGGATACCTTCGAGCCTTTCTGGAAGATGCTGGCCTAATCAGCGTAACAGAAGAACTTGGAAGCCAAGGAAATTTCACCTATAGATCAGATGATGGTGCAAAGACGCCGTTTATAGATGGCTTCCTTACGCTTAGTTCATCACTCCACCAGTTTGCTGATCTCACCATTGGCCCTGACAAACCTCTGAACACTTCGAATCACCTGCTGGTAAAGATCAAATGGTCTATAGAGCTACCATGTAACTTACATACAGCTCGACCAAAGCATGCAAAAACCAATCAGCCAGCCCAGAAACTGCAAAGACTGAAAATCAAATGGACAGATGCATCCAAAGATCAGATAGCAGCTCAATATACTGATCCCCTTGGAATTACAGCAAGGAAGTTGTTTACTACAATCCACAAGAGAGTGCTGGACAACACATTTGTGGACGACTTACTTTATAAGCTTACCATGGCCATGATTGAGACCGCACTCAGCCTCCCACACAACTATCCTTCCATAGGTAAACACGGCAAACCAGAATGGACCTCGAAGGTCGAAGACTCCTACAACGCCGCCCTTGAAGTCTGGAAGAGATGGAAAACAGCTGATAAGCCTCACAGCGGTACGCTCTTCACAGACTACCTCCTATGCAGAAAGAACTTTCGAAGGCAGCTCCGCCAATCTCGAGCTCACAACAACAGAAGACTCCTGAACCGTATTGAGAACGCTTGCGTAACGAACCAGCAGCTCTTCCACAAACTTGTCAAGAACCAGCGCTCCAAAGACAGCTCGGGATATGGTACAGAGTCACTAGAGTACAATGGTAGAACATATCAAGGGGACCGCGAAGTCATTGAGGGCTGGGAGCTATATTTTACTGACCTCTCCCTACCAGACCATACAGGAGATGCCTCTAGCAGCTCTGCCTTCGACATCCCTGAAAAGCCCAAACCCAAAGTTCTCAGCACCCATGTATGCGCTCACCATAACATCTCATGACATCAAGGAAGCTACTACTAAACTGAAGAAGGGCTAAGCCAGTGGTCCAGACAACATCAGCCCAGAGCACCTCAGTTACATAGGAAAAGCCACCATGCACCTGATCCTGCTCATCTACAACTACTACCTCTCAACCGCTCATACTTCGCAGGAGATGAAAAATGGATTGATTCTTCCCTTCCACAAGGGCAAAGGAAAGGATCCCCGTGATCCTAGGAACTATCGAGGGATTACATTGTCTTCATCCTTCTCCAAGCTCCTTGAGCTTATCCTCAAACCAAGGCTAGAGAAGACCCTTCAAGGCAATGGTATACCAGATGAGCTACAATTCGGGTTCCAGAAAAACCACTCCTGGCATGACGGCCTCTTCTACAAAGTGGATCAAACCAACGTTGACCCTGCATACACAGCCCTCCTCAGATCTTTGTATGAAAACATGAAAAGCCGAGTACTGTGCTCTGACAAGACAAGTGGAGCCATACCGATACTCCAGGGTGTCAGGGAAGGTGGGCGTACTCTCCCCCCTGCTGTACACTGTTTTTGTTGACGGCCTTATGAAGGAGCCGAGAGACAAGAGGCTAGGTTGCCAGTTGCTGAGCCAGCATGCTGGTGTGATCGTCCTGGCCGATGATGTAGCGCTAGTCGGCTCATCTCCAACAGAACTTCAAGAGATGCTGAATGCTACATGTAAATATGCAGAAACTTGGAGATATCGCATCAACCCGAAAAAAAAGCAAGATTGTTACCTTCAATAACAAAGCTCACAACACAACGGCCCAACCCATGTGGATCCTTGGACAGATGCTAATCGATTCAGTGACCCAACATCTGCATCTGGGGATCATAAAATCCTCCTCCAAACATGATCCAACAGATCTAATGATCTCCAGAGGCACAAAAACCTTCTATGCCCTCACTGGAGCGGGTGCATACACAGGAGGTCTTCTACCACATCACTGTGCACGACTCTGGAAAACATACTGCATCCCACGTATGCTGTATGGAGTGGCCATCATGAAGCTCAACCAGACAAGGCTAAATAAACTGGACAGATCCCAATACCAGCTCTTCAAGAAGATCCACGGGCTCCCCAACAGTGCTGCCGATGATGCTGTCTATCTTCTCACAGGCCTCATTCCCCTGAGCATGCGAGTCGACCAAGAAACTCTCCTCATCATAGGTCAACTCATCAATCTGCCACACTCAAGATATGAGGTACGCACACTACATCATGCTATCACCAACTTCACCCCCTTGGCGAGGACATGGGAAAGAACTTTGAGAAGTTAAAAGCTCCCCAACCTTCACTCCCTCCTCTCCAAGCCCGTTCCCTACATTACCTGGAAGTCAGTCACTAGGTCTGCAATTGACTCGGCTATGCAGAAGAAAGTTCATGAGGCCATCAATGCAAAACCATCTCTCTCCTTCTTCGAGAATAACACTAGCTCCCCCCATGACCTTTACCCGAGATCCATCTCCTCAAGTTTTCTACGTTAAGCCATCATTGTACGCTCGCAACTTCTCTCTCAGACGTACCTAACTCAATCCCGGCTATGTAAAATCAAGAAGTGTACGATCCGATTCTGCCAAGTGTGCAAAGCGGAAGAGGAGGACATCACACACTTCATAGCCAAGTGCATACCACTCGGAAATCATCGCCAGAAGCTGGTCGACAATCTCCACCACAGGGGCGTACAGCAGTCGACACTTGCTTTATTCAGTCCAGATGACCCTGAGACCTTCACGCGGGCAGTCCTACTTCCAAATGTTCTAACTGTCTGCCCTAACCAAAAGAACCTTCTTATTAAAGCATAACTGTCATTTTTTATACAATATCAACTCTGCTCGTGCTAATGCAATTGCCAATACACATTCTACCTGACATGACAATCTTGCCTGCTATGACCATGAACCTACTTGCTATGACAAACTGCAGTACCCTGGTAGCTGCTGATCTCCAAAAGAGCGGAGGAAGAAGAAGAAGAAGTCATTGTAGACGAATCGTGTTGCCCTTCTTAGATGAACGCAATTTTTTGATATGTATTACGAACGAAAGAGACAGAATTTTCGGTCCAGTACTATCATCTAAACCTACATGTCTACTACTAGTCTAGAACGTAGTAGGTTATATTAGGCCTAGACCCGAGATTCTAGACCTTCTACGTAGAATATTTGCATGTGCACTGCGCGCGACAGCGGCTATCGGTGCATGTTTACTGAGGCTAGATCTAGACTAGTTCTATATAGGGCTATCTCCCATTACTGAATTTGGCTCAGCCCCATATGCAGGACTAGGAGCAAGATTAATGGAAATTTCGAAATTTCCTGTACAAAATAATAAAATATCCACATAGGCCTACCTCAACAGTCCCAACAGACGACCGTCTCGATTTGCGGCTGCATACCTACTGGCGCGGCGCGTGAAGTCTTGGTGTGTTGCAGTGCATAAAGGAGACACATGCTACCGCGCAAGGGAGACAAAATATCGGCAAATATGAAGTTGATCTTACTGCGCGTGTAGTGTGCGATTTATCCCGATCGCACCATGGAATAAACCACTTTCGAAATGGTGGTGTTTTCAGACCATAAGGGATATATATTTTTGATGAGCAAGATGCATATTATTACGTTGTTAAAACCACATCTGATCTTAAATATGAATATTCCACCCATATACGATTGAGAAAGCGAGATGTATCCAATAAACTTTGTGTCTCCGAAATGTACTTTTATGACAACGCCGAATATACAACCCCATGTTTGAACAGGGTTCTATTTCGAATTGATGTACCCATATAATAATAATAATAATAACAATATTTATAAAGCGCAACATATCCATCTCTAGAGATGCTCAAGGCGCATACAAATAATTTAAGTTAATATTCAACATATTCAACATTAATTTAACAATATGCATTGAGCATCAGGTGAGTTTTAAGCCCAGTTTTGAAAGAAGAGAGATTAGGGGGTTTTCGTTTGTCACGTTGACATAGTCGACGTCTAATATGTGACGTCATTTCCGCGATCTGCGCATGCGTCGGGTCGTCTGGCGTCGTCAGGCCACATTTGCGAACCCGTTCATCGATGATTTGAGGTTCGTCAGAAAACTAGTGACCCGTCGTCAGAATGACGTCATATTGCTACATCGCAGCGTAAATCAGAAAGTAAAAACAGAAAGAGAAATTGATAGAATGATTAAAAAACAAAGAATAACATAAGGAAAGACAGAAAAAAAAAGTGTGATAGAATGATAAGAACAAAGAATAACATAAGAGAAGATGATAGAAGGAAAAAACAAAGGCTAACATAAGGGAAGACAGAAAGAGAAGGTGAAAGAAGGGAAAAAACAAAGAATAACATAAGGAAAGACTGAAGAGAAAGTGTAAGAAGGAAAAAACAAAGAATAACATAAGGAAAGGCAGAAAGAGAAGATGAAAGAAGGAAAAAACAAAAAATAACATAAGGAAAGACAGAAAGAGAAGGTAAAAGAAGGAAAAAAACAAAGAATAACATGAGGAAAGACAGAAAGAGAAGGTGAAAGAAGGAAAAAAACAAAGAATAACATATGGAAAGACAGAAAGAGAAGGTGAAAGAAGTGAAAAACAAAGAATAACATAAGGAAAGACAGAAAGAGAAAGTGAAGGAAGGAAAAAACAAAGAATAACATAAGGAAAGACAGAAAGAAAAGGTGAAAGAAGGAAAAAACAAAGAATAACATAAGGAAAGACAGAAAGAGAAGGTGACAGAAGGAAAAAACAAAGAATAACATAAGGAAAGGCAGAAAGAGAAGATGAAAGAAGGAAGAAACGAAAAATAACATAAGGAAAGACAGAAAGAGAAGATGAAAGAAGGAAAAACAAAGAATAACATAAGGAAAGACAGAAAGAGAAGGTGAAAGAAGGAAAAAACAAAGAATAACATAAGGAAAGACAGAAAGAGAAGGTGAAAGAAGGAAAAAACAAAGAATAACATAAGGAAAGACAGAAAGAGAAGGTGAAAGAAGGAAAAAACGAAAAATAACATAAGGAAAGACAGAAAGAGAAGGTGAAAGAAGGAAAAAAACAAAGAATAACATAAGGAAAGACAGAAAGAGAAGGTGAAAGAAGGGAAAAACAAAGAATAACATAAGGAAAGACTGAAGAGAAAGTGAAAGAAGGAAAAAACAAAGAATAACATAAGGAAAGACAGAAAGAGAAGGTGAAAGAAGGAAAAAAACAAAGAATAACATAAGGAAAGACAGAAAGAGAAGGTGAAAGAAGGAAAAAATAAAGAATAACATAAGGAAAGACTGAAGGGAAAGTGAAAGAAGGAAAAAACAAAGAATAACATAAGGAAAGACAGAAAGAGAAGGTGAAAGAAGGAAAAATCAAAGAATAACGTAAGGAAATACAAAAAGAGAAAGTGATAGAATGATAAAAACAAAGAATAACTTAAGAGAAGATGATAGAAGGAAGAAACAAAGAATAATATGAGGAAAGATAGAAAGAAAAATGATAGAATGATAACAACAACAATAACATTAGGAAAGACAGAAAGAGAAAATGATAAAGAATAGACAATGGAAAGATAGAAGAGAAGATGGAAGAAGGAAAAACAAAGAATATCATAAGAAAAATAGAGAGAGTATAATAGAATAATAAACGAAGAACAAAATAAGAAGTGAAAGAAGGAGAAAATGAATAAGCGCGTGCGGGGCCATTACGTCATCGTGTAGAGAACGTGTGTCAACTTAAAACGAAAAGGGTTATAAGGTAGTGAACAGGACGGGTGTCTGACGTCAATTTGCATCGTTAGAGGACGTGAACGCCGTCCTCGTCCACACAAACGAAAAGCCCCTAGTGTTGGCCGTCTGACGGTGCGATCATAGAGCTACGATGTTAACATGAATATTCATGAAGCCTTTTGGACACCGTTCCTTGTAAAACTGCGTTCATTAGGTGTTGAAACGTAAAGGAGACACGAAAATGTCTCCTTTACGCGGGTGTCTCCTTAAAGGACGTCTAATAACACCAAGTGTCTCCCAAATGATGTATACACGTATATATATATATATATGAATGTATGTTAGCTGCGAGTGGGGGCGGACGTGTTTCTGCTGAGCTCCCTTGTTTCTCATATTTTTTCCGTTTTGGCGTTTGTTTCTATGCAGTGATTGGTACTAAAGTGATGATCTGGACGCGTACAAGCCATTTCCAGGATGAGTCTTTTGATTTAGCTTTTTGATTTTCATATATTTGGTGATTTAGTGATCAAATTTTGGTTTTTTGATAGTGAAGGAAGTCAAAATTGCAGTTGTTTTTGCTGCGCGTAGTGCTAAACACCTGTTGTCAGTGACAACATATTGCGCACTCTGTTATTTATTTTATTACTTCTTTGTTTTTAATTGCGCATATACACCTGCGCCAGCGCCTTTCATTTGAAGTACGCGCAGAGGAATTATCCTTATTACAATATGAACATTTTATGTTACTATTAATATGAAATAATATGAATAATAAATAAATAAATGAATGAATATTAATAATAATAATAATAAATAATTAT